TCCAATCTTCTTCAGGCACCTCAAGACCATGCTTCTTACTCGTAAATGCAACAACTGCTTCTTCCGACGTTAGACAACAAAACTCGTTGTCCACGCAATTTATTCTTGACTTTCGATAACAAGAAGAAGTCATTGGGTGCCAAAATAAGATTGTACGGCGGATGACCCATCAATTCGATTTCTTGAATGTTCAAAAAATATTTCACTGATAGCTTCCGGTAAACGAATGGTTATATACCATTCGGAATTGACCGCTTTATATTCCTGTAATGGTGTCCGTATAGTTGCTACATGACCAGTTTTCCCAAAAAACAAGTTACCATCTGTTTTGAAGTGCTGGTGAAACTAATGCATAGTAGTTTGAGGTTCTCTTCATTTCACAATATGTCGCATGATGATCTTTCATTACTCGTATCAGGTTTTGCATCAGCATCAATGTTTTCTGGCACAAATGATTTTGAACGACTTTCACAAATTTCAGTAAGGTTAGTGAACGAGCTGCGGTCACGATTAAAATTATTCTACCAGTGTTTCACAGTGACAAAGTATCTTCATAGTGGAGCTTCATTGCGAAATGTGAAAGTAAGTTGTTCGATGCACTCTTCTCTTGATTATCCACTTCGAAAGTCGTTAATCTCATTTTTTCGCTAACACTCAATTTACAAAACACTGCAAATATGAGTAGCACAAATAACGTTCTTTTGACACAAGGTAGGTCTAAGGTAGGTTATGTTTAATAACGTCAAACTTTCGTATGAAAATGTGAGATCCCACCTGACAACAATCAGTTATGCCAAGACTCAAAATATAAATAATGATCCTCGTACTTCTTCTTAACTTACTTCTACTTTTCTGTAGATTTTTTTTCTACTTATACTTTTTTTACTTTTTCTTCTGGTTCTACTTCAACTGATATTTCTATTTTTATACCCACTTTTATTTCTATATTTACTTCTATTTTCACATCTATTTTCACTTATAGTTCTACTCTTATTTCTATTTCTAATTTACTCGTTAGTTGTTCCAGAAGTTTTAAGCGCTTTGAGTTTTATATGACAACACAATAGACCTAACTGTGTTCATAGGATCATTGCTACAACTTGACATAATCTAGTGTTCTTATTACGATGTATTTATTTTCTAAACTTAGTCATGAAGTGGTATTCATCGCTGGTAATATTAAAGCATTGAGACTTTCTGTCTTGACAATGTTCTATGTCTATTTAAAAATTCATTTAAATTAGTTAAACAAATTCTCAAACTGTTTAACTAAAGTTTCTCTAGCTATACATGTACCATATATATTACATCCAGCATATTCATACACTGCTCTATGAAGGATTCTGTACAGGTTTGCACTTGAAGTGCAAAATATTGAAATATGAACCGAAAATACATGATCCTCCTAGCATCTTCTTATGGACTATAGTAATCTTTCTTCTTGCGTCTTGCTTAGCAGCTTATTTGAAAATAGCAAATTTACGTGATTTTATGTGAAATTGTCTAGATTAAAAATAGATTTTCTTCTGCATAATCCTACAGAGAGCTTTTTGTATAAATTGCCTACGAATACACGTACCAATCCTTGTGCATGTCAAGAACACAATTAACAATTTGCAGATAAAAAAAATGGAAGCATTTGAGAAATGAAAAAGTTTATTCTGATTTTTAAAAATACGAGTACTTAAGTCAGCATTGGCCACTGGTGCAGGAAATGGCAATTTAATTTTAATACCTGACCCAGGTGCAACATTGCGTGTTGCAGTAACTTTATACGCTTTTAATTTTAGGTTATTTAAGGTTTGCTTTTTGCATTAATGAACTGCAAAGCATGGACACATAATTGCACACAAGCCACGTCTGCCTTTGTATTGCTCTGAGTCCGGCACTTTGAGTCCAAAGAGGACTAGTTAGTCAGTCAGTCTAGTGCATGGTAACTAGGTTGTCTCCCTTCAAACATACGAATATTTGAACGTAGCATTCTACCAATTAAAATGGTTAAAAATTAAAATCATTTAATTCAGGTGTATAAGCGCATATATCCTTTTTTAATTAATGGTAATAATTTTAAAACTGGAATTAAGCTGTCAACTGAAATAATTCTTTAAAAATGAATACTTAACATAAATATACCATTCTAACAAGAGAGCTCGTGACTTGAAAATAATAGTCGTAAGTAAAATGCTTGTTGTGAATTATGCTTTACTGATGGATCCAAAATGGAAGATGGCAGTGAAGTAGCGGGAATTAAACGACAGAAATTCCGCAAACCAATAGCAACGACCAAAATTATTTCCATTTTTTAGGCAGAGGTCCATGCCTTAGAGCTATGTGCGAGAGAGTGTCTACGCAGGCACACACGATGTACCAAAATATGAATTCTTTTGGACGGCCAAGCAGCTTTAAAATCTTTAGCAAACTCTTCATTCCGATCTTTCATTCCAACTTTTCAATACTCTAGCATCGAGAAACTATGTTACGGCTATGTGGGTACCGTGCATGTACTCCTTTCATTCGTCCAGAGCCCTTATACGGGGTAATAAATAGCTTCACAAATAACTTGAACAAAATCTACTTGCACACTGAAGAGCCCAAACAAGCATGTGACAGTCAAGAAGATTTATTATTCCTGAACACATCAAAGTTGTCACCATCTTTAACCTTAACAAAATCGATATTAAAATCTACACTGAACTTCTTACAGGACACTGTAGAGTCAATTACCGCATGAAGTTTATAGGTGCGGTAGAAAATTATTCCTATCGACTGTGTCATGAGGAGAAGGAAATATCAGTATATAATCTATGAAATTTAACGCCCAGCGGCAGCAAGACGTCGACTTGACTTGCTGTTACAATCGATATGATTTATACAGAATCATTACTGCCCACATAATCTTGGACCTGGTGTCCAGAAATAAAGCAAATTGGAATGTACCTGTCAATGACGTCTGGAACTATAAACAGTATTTAATTTAAACTGGAATAAAGCACATAATTGCTATGTAAAAGTAACTAGTTTTAATATTCTAATATGCTCTTATAAAGATATGCAACCATAGTATTAAGAATGAAGCATTTTAGCATTCTTATGTCAAAATCCGGATACTTTTTGAGCAGAAGGTATTATAGATCTATTACTCCTTGTATCAATAAGACAGATTAGAAAAACACTATTTGAAATAATTTTATATAAAATATTTTCTAAGCATGTATACAATTTTCAAATTCATTAAAAAAATTTTTATTACTAGTAATTTCAATTTGTCCTTAAATATATAATTTTTATCTATAGTTACTTTTAGTTTCAAGACAGAAGGATATATTTTGTCTCTGCATATATTAAATTGAAGAGGCAATTCTGAGAAGTTGTTTTATAAGAAAGTAATAATATAACTTCATTACACTATCATGGAAACTACTTTGGGGTTGCAGAATAATACAAAACATATTGGATTTGTTCCACGCCTTCCTGACGCTTTGCAAGACACTAATGGTTTTAATGAGATTCACTTGTCCCACAACAGAATAATAGTATTTCTTTGGTTTTTGCTCATTTTCCTAGCACTTGGAAGTATCGTTATGTATGCGTTCCGTCGGGTACCTGCGTGAAAAATCAATCATGACTTATGTGAACAATTTTCGTCTCTGATAACCTGAATCAACAGTTTCCATAAGGATGGTCATTTTTATGAAGTTCAAAAAATTCATTTTCTTTAAAAAAAAATTTTTTTTTGTTACTTTTTTGCAACTTTTTTTACAAATCTACAATAAAATTTTTTTAAAGATGGCTTAAAGATTTGCAATCATGTGTAAAACACAATATTTTTAAAGACTGATGATTATTATGAATCATTAAGCGGGTACCGTTGAGGAATTGAACATATATTCAAGCAGTGGAATAGCAGAGGAATATTAACTTTTATAAAAATCGGCCACACCGCATGTAACAGACACCTACAGAAAATAGGCGTATCCGATACTAATATTTGCAGATTCTGCTGTTATGAGGAAGAGTCTATGGAACATCTGATCACGAACTGTGATACACTAGACCACAGAAGAAACAAAATTTTAGGTGCATACCAACTAGAGGATGAAGACCTTTGAAAACTCCCTCCGAAGGAGTTGATTCGATTCCTCGAGATACTAAATATCTAAATCTAAATCTATTAAATATCTAAATACCATTACCAATCGGACTAAAAACAATTCACTGTACGCGAATTTAGATCGAGGCAGCGTCTAGAAATTATTTATCTAGTCATTGTATCCATATTTGGAATAAAGAACAACAGAACTCGATTCATCAGTTACTGACGTCGCATCCTGTTTGATGATGTTTATGAACTGATGGAATGAGAGATCTATCTTCAAAAATAGAAAAAATCGAAAGATGATCGTCAATGGCACCCAGGAGAGAGTAAAGGACAGCTCTCATTGACTTTTAGTTTTAATCTGTGCTAGATGCTCTATTGTAAAAAAATCAATGAATTATAATAGAAAGTATTTGATGATTACATATTGCACGAATAGTGCTTTTACATGGTTTCCTAGATTATGTGATTTACAGGCGATTTATTTAGTATTGTATTTAGCAAAAACACATGTCTTGTTTTTCAATCAAAACAAGCTTATTAGCCTGTCATCATCATTCAGAACAAACGATCTGTTAACTATAAAACTCTACTGAATAGAATAGAATAGAATACATTATATACAGGAGAGGTTCAATGGTAACTGTCGATCAACCACTACAACCATCTAATCAACCAAACCCAAAAATATTAATTCAAAAAAGCCTTTCACTATGAAATAAGTTGTAATTATTATTATTAAATGATGTGTGCGTGAATAATTTATATTTAAATAAATAATTCTCACTATTCTCGGTTTTTTAAAAACCACTTTGTTTTTAATCGAACAGTTAAAAAAAAGAATAAGTTTAAGATTTTATAAACAGATTTAATAAAATATAATTTACTTGGCAGTCGTCAATCATCACTTGTCAACCTCCACGTTATTTATGTAATCCGTAATATCGCTTTTACTGATCATTCTTAGTAAATTTCCTTTGTTCAACACCCCAACTTCTATATTATTCACAACAGTTTGTCCACAGTGCTTGAAGCATCCCAAAGCAAGCATGATACCTGTTAATTCATCAATATCGTGATTAGAGTAGCGATCTAGAAATTTTTGAGCCTTCTTCTCCTCGCAACCGATAACAACAGCCTTTTCACCCACTTCCACATTATTCTTATTTACCTTAAAAATCGACGATTTGTCAGCATCGAATCCGCCAATAACACAATTTAGGAGCGATAATGGAGTGTTGCCACACAATGTATTCTTATGCAACGTCCCGAATATGTAATTCGCAATATGTCCTACATTGCGATCACTATCAGGATACATAAGAACGCACTCCTTCATACCAGCCTCACACAAGCTTCTCCCAGCTGTCTGATCACCCGCATAAGCCATGATTATATTATTGTTTAGAGCATGGATTCTACTGGCGGTACGAGGAACAATAAGCGCACTCGGATAGATATTATATACAGCAAATATTAATGTTTCATCACCACGTATTGCAATACACGTGGAATTTATTAATTTAGAATTTGGTCTTGCCATGTCTACGAATTTCTGTTAAGCCTTTATGGATGCAATAAGAGTATTAGACATACGAGTATTCATTAGCAATTCAACAGAAATATTTTGAAATTTATTTTTAAAAATGTGATTACTTTTACTTAAATTTAGAGTTGAAATTCAAAGATAACTTGACTGTTAAAATTTCATAATTTCACTATCGGTCCAATAGAGGGGCAGATACAGAGCCAAGCCAGATATGGGAAATATATGAGCCACACTCTTATATTCCTCCTCTTGGTTACGCCCACAGTTGTGTTTTATCGGTCTTATTAATATCAGATATTTTATAAAACAATTTTAGATTATTGTCATTGTCTTATCAGAACTATTCTGAGGAACTTGTCTTTCAGAGTTGCAATCAAAATTTTCTTCATTTTTATCCTCATTTAAAAGAAATAAATGTCCATTTTGACATTTCAAATTAACTTTCGTAAAAATGTTTATTTGGTGCTAATATAGAATAAATTAGGATTTTTTAACTTAAATATTTAAAACTGATAATGGAAAAGGACGACTATACCTTTCTTTTCCCTTTTTTTGTTTTAATTTTTTTGTCAAAATATTGTATTAACTTTGCACTTTCATCAAACGTTTAAGTTGATGAATATTTTCATTACAGACTTTGTCCTGGCAATCTTCGTTAATAACCGTAGTTCCTACAAGGAACTCTTACTTTAGGAATATATACGTATGTATAGTGACAGACTTACGTGTTTGAATATTTACAAATTTATTATCATTGTGTTCATATATATCAATTATTTTATCTCTACAGAGTCACTTGATGATATAACCACACACAACATACACAGCAAGTCCGTTGCAGAGATGAATATTCTAATCCTCTTAAAATTTACTGAAATCAAAATCTGACTGTAAATCTTCATCTTCACCCATTCTAACAAAACAATGGAGATTTTTTACTTACAATTCAACAGATTTGCTATCGCAAATATCGCAAGTAATCCTATCTGTATTTTAATAAAAGATATATTCAAAAACGCCCATTCCCATTCTCCAGGGAGAAATATGCTTGAAGCGGAAGTTAGAAGAAGAAAACTTAGAACCGTCAGGAGAAGCCGAATTCTGGTAAAGCAATTGAAAAAGGTGTTTCCGACGTGGAAGAGTCTGCAGAGCAGTGTTGCGTCTGATTAACAGCGAAAGGAAAGTACAACAATTTAATGTTTAATTGTGAGATGTTAGAGAATACAATCATTTTAATTTGCCTTATTTTGTATTATTTAACACCTCTGCGACTCCTGCATGGCATGCAGTTCCAAATTATACCATCAGTTTTATTGTAAATGTTTCTATTTACGACAAGGAATCTATTTAGAATGGAAAAAGTGATAATAAGAGAATAAAATTACAAAATAAATATCCAAAATGTATTTTTCGGTCTGGCCCATACAGCTATTTCGAATATAACCATATATTCATCATCAGTAGTTTTTAGAGATTTCGCAATATTCGAAACAACTGTACAGTCAGATATACCCTTTACTCAAATCTTTCACATTCACTCATTTTAATTTTGCATTAAAGATGGATAAAGTAAGTGTAAGGAAATCGCTTCGCCTAATGGGCCATTCTCCGGTTCTCCGGAACCTCCAATTGGCATGTAAAAAAATATGATTATTGTAAAATCTAATTTTCAGTTTTCTAAAATTATTTATCCTTTTATATTTATTATTATTTTAAAGATTCATCTTTTAATCTTCATTTGTGTTTTATTTCAAACAAAATCCTCTCTCCAGGCACCTAGGTCACAGAAACCACGGACGAAGAATGAACACGTTTTAAAGCAGAAACTTAAGAATATAGGTAAGCTTTATAATTCAGTTAAGAAGAATATATTTAGTATCGAACGATCAATATAAAATTATATTATCTGAACTGTTCTCGCATTGAATAGATTGTGTCAGAAAATGTGTGACATTTTGCACTATCGTATTAAAATCACATATTGTTTAAGCCGAAGTCATTTCATCATGCCTCCAATCATGTTTTTGTACGCCACTATATCCCGGTACCCAGAAAATCGACACCTGATTTGATTCGCCTAACAGATTTAGCTTATTAAGGTGTTCTGGCGTTAGTCTTGAAGTCAACTAATGTGAGTTTAGTGTCTTGATCGTCGCTTGGCTGTGTGTCAATATTGCGATATTTTTTTTCTTGATAAATCTGTTCAATATTGATAAGTACGCACTTGAATATTGTGTACATATCCGCTTGGAAAATGCTAGTATTTCAACCCAGCCCTTCTCAATGTTTCTTGCCTGGTCCGACTATGCCTGCTCCGGCACCTTCCTCCGTAAGCAAGCCATCAGTGAACCATACAATTGTGCTATTAGTTAACTGGTAGGTCTGATTGATGTCCTTTCAGCTTGTTTTGTTGGTTAGTTCACTTTTAAAGAGCTTCGTAAAGCTGAACTTTGGATTCATCGTCTATAACTAACTTTTTAACTTTTACAACAAAATAAAAATGAATATGAAAATAAAAATAGCTAGAATAAAAACAAAATTATTTATATTTTAGAAGCAAAAACTAAATAAAAAATTATGAAATTATAAGTAATAAATATACTAAAATATTTTTAAAAAAATAAACTCGTACATGCCGTGGCATATTTCTTAATTATACAAATTAATTATGAAAAAAATGCAAATAAAGTTGGAATCAATGCCAATGTCCAAGCCAAAGAAAATAAACCAAAACTTTTTTTTCCAAGTTTTGGATTTCAGTATTTCAGTATTTCAATGGACTTGGTTTGAGGCAGCATAAAGAGGACATTTTTTATAGACGCCCGCCCTCATTAACAAATCTGCATACATAATGCGAAGCGGCTGTTTTATATTGGCTGCAATTAACACACAAAATATCTGATACTGTAATAATTAACACGGAACGGAAGTGAAGCGAACGAGCGAAATTCGAGTTTGGGGTGAAAAATTGAAGAAAATTTGTTAACAATTTTTGTTGTTGTTGTTGTTGTTGTTGAGCTACTTTTGGTGGTAGTTAATCAAGCTTGGGTTTCTTTTTGTTTTGTTTAAAAAGCGATTTACATTAGCAAAAGTTTTAGGTTTGTCATTCTATCCAAAATGTTAATGTAAACAGCAAAAACATAAATATATATACGACGTGTATGGAAAGAGAAAATCATTTGCCTCAAAATTATATACTTAAATTTCATGCAAGAATTATTTAAATAAAAATATGAAATTTATTTAAGTCTATTTACACTTCTATACAAAACCAGTGAAGACAACATGATTTCTGTCTATATATTATATGTAGCTGACAGGAAAGGTGCAGCCTCACCGATTTTTTTTTTTTTTTTTTTGACAGTAGATGGAAGCATCGAAAGCCACCGTGTGAAACGTGAACCCACTAAACCACCTCTTAGGAATGAATGGAGAAGTTTGCCACAGCATTGTAAAAACTTCATTCCAGCCGTCAAGGGAGAGAGGAGAAAAAATTAACTTACTACCTAGCGAGCTCGATTTATCTAAGCCAAAAAGCAAGGGCGTACATTAGGGAAATTGGCTTATAGAGAAGGGAGTGGAGTGGAGTTAGAGCAGATGAGCGGGGGCGAGGTTAGCGGTAAACTTTGTGACTGAGGTCTCTTGTTAAACAATTGAGAATAATAAATATTACAAATTAGTCAACCAAATTATTTGATGCTTATTTGATCACTTATAAAGTGATCCCGGACCCAAAGGAATTTTACAAGCAGTACCCTGCTGGCTATTATAATAACAAAGACATGCTTATAAGGTATTTATTATTGTATAGAAAAATATAATAGAATAGAGACAAATATTCAAAGTTTAACACAATTAAGCAGTATATATCACATCATATACCACTTAAAAATTTAAATTTAAAAATATTTATTATAAAGAGAAATTCAATTTGTTATTTATTTATATTAATAAATTTCCTATACTTCATTTACAAATGGAAACTCAAACAAAATAAATGTAATATTAATTAATACTAGAACATTTTTTGTTTCTAAATTTAATTGTTTAAAAAAATGCAAATAAAAAGTGATATAATTAAATGATAACATTTTCTTACTCGACATAGTTTTAGTCTTTAAATAGAAATGTTAATCATTTTTAAATAGATAACATAAACCTTTATATAATCTACTATAGAAATTCTGTTTTTAATCAGAAAAACTTCGAAGCCAATTTAGTTGGCAACAAAAGATTTTCAATAATTTTTTTACTTCAACGTGCAAACACAATAAAATTATGTACAATTAATTAAATTCTAGAAAAAAATAATTAGATTATATAGCGTAATTAAATGCTGTTTTTCACTATTAAGCAATTTTACACAGTTCTAAGTACACACACACATATATAATTACAATCAAAGTTTGTTCTGCATAAATGGCTTTAAATATTTATGAAAGCTGCTATTTACAGTTTCTTGATTGAGCGGACTCTTCTTGGCCTCTTCCATGAGACGCTCATAAACGCGTCCATCATAGCAACCCAAAGTTGAGCCCAAAACACGGTCGTGAAAATCAAAACCATCCACTACGGCAATTGCGTTATCTCGGAATTCACCCAAAACCTGTTCAAAACGTAATTCAACCTGGGATAATTGCTCTGAAGTGATTGTGTTAGAACGCAACACATCACCCAAACTCGACAAGAACATGTCCAATAAAAATATTTCCAACAGTTGAATTAAAACTGTGTACAAAGTTGGCTCAATGCGATTTTTCAGATTGTGTATTTCCTCGTAGGATACACGTGCCAAGAAGGCACGACCATGCAATGTTGCCGCTTCTGTAAGTTTAATTCCCGCCAGATTAGCTGCCACTTCTTGTTTGATTTGATTTTTTACACGTTTCAAATTTTGATATTTAGCTGCATTTTGTACCTTCTGACTGGCGGCAATTTCCAAGGCACGCACCAATGTTACCAAATCATTTGACCAATTCAATGGCTTTGTGTCACCCAAATACGTTAAAGTTTTCGGAAACGTATTGTTGTTATTTGTGGCAAAGCAATTTTTCACTAGAAAACGTGCTGTCTGCAATAAGAGAACCGTATTTTCACCTTCGTAGGTGCAGGCAGCCGTTGCAACACCATAAATTTGTGAGAAATTTGCTGATGTCAAATAACCTTGACCTCCGCATGCTCGACGTAATATTTCAATACCAGTTGTTGATTCATGCGAGCAAACGGCTTTCAGGCAACAGGAAAGTGCATGCAACTCAGCCAAATTGCTTCGATTGCCAGCATCGAGTTCTTTCGCAACCTCCTGATAAAGCTTCCATACATAATCGGCGGCTATACGAAAGAAGACCCCTTTGGCTATTTGCGGAAACACTTTCTGTTGTTGTGTTAAATGATCAATGATTTGAGGTTCAGGCTGGTCAGGCGCAATGGGACTTTGTCGTCGTACAAAAGAGTATCTGTAAAAATTATGAATTATTATTATTGAAACAAATATCGGTATTAAAAGGGCAGTAAATTTAAGTTTCATATAAATATAATAAATTGCTTTAAAAATAAGAAAATAAATAAGTAATACTATAAACCACAAATTTACTGAGAGTACTGAGTAAACAATTCTTTCTCAAACTCTAAATTGTTTATATGGATAGATTTGGTGATAAGTTAGCAATATTGACTTCAGTCAGTATCAGCTATAATTTGTATACAGTTCATACAAATCGTATAATAAGAGTATATCAGAAGAGATATCTAAAAGCTGTGAAGAAGATATAGAACAGCATATACACGATATTTCAAGAATAAACAGAAGGTTTTATAAGCACAACAAAAAATTTTACATTTCAAAATTAAGAAAGATTTGTTTTACTTAATTGATTGAAATTAAAAATGGTTGTTGTTGTTGCAACCCGCTGGACTCTAAAATGCAGTTAACATGAAAGGATTTCTTTGAACTCTATTATACCTAAATTGCAGCTCTATCCCCATAACGTTGCCCATCTATTCTCTTGCCTCACTATACACACAAGCCTCCATCCAATCGACCTTTAGACCCACCTCCTTTGAAATGGCCAGATTCCTCTGTCTGGATCCAAGTTGATTGCAGTTTAAATCTCACCCATCCATAATCTACCTTTTCTTCCTTATTCCCCATTCCGGTAACCTCATCCATCACCCCTCCACATCCTAACCAATGTATTCGTCTTCCAAAACCTTTCATATTATATGCTTTTAGGTCCTAGCGAGTCACAAGAAAGGATTTAAGGGACTTGAAAAAACTGTAGAGCTTCATTTACTTCTACAATTTGTCTTGAATATGGTTTTTACGTTGATTCAAAAATAATTTAGTCCAACATCTTTAGTATTAAGTCAAGCAATATTTTTCATAATTTTATATACATACTGTGAGAAATATTTAAATGCATTCATTTAAAAACATTAGTACTATCAGTAGACTTTAGATTAGTACTCACACAATTATTGACAAACTGATAAAACTCAAAAAAAATACCTTTGAAACTGAGTATTTTTTTATTTTAACTTTTTTTAAGTTTCAAAATACGAGATAAACTTTATATTGCATTAGTTGATGTTGATAACATTTAAATGATTATAAAAATAAAAAAAAATATAAATTATATTTGTATGCGCAGTAATCTTATAACCTCCCATGTGGTCCTTCCTTCCCAGACTATACTAAAGAAGTTCAAAAAGAACATTGATACCAGAAGATTATCCGATATGCATATTGAAATATTTAGTACATCTATCAATAACTACATAGAACATAACATACTATAATTACCTACTGGTTTAAAAATAACAACAATCGACGAAGTTAGTATATGACAAATATTTATACTGTATATAGAATCACTGTAATTGTCAAAACAGTACATACAACTGATTCCAATGTATTAATATCTAACACGTAACTGAAAAACTAACAATACAGGATCAAGCAATACCAACTAGAAACTATATAAAATAAATAGTATGCGTAACAGATGATAAGTATAGAATTGTACGAATTTACATCCACACTCTCGAAAATGAAAAGATGAAAGAGCATAAAAAAGCAGAAAGGAAGAGAAAGAACAATATATATACAATATCGATGGCATTGTGAAATTCTAATAGAAGCCATAAAGCACAAACATAATTAGAAATGTCTAGGACCTGATGGAATCCAGAAGTTCTGATTTCGCTCATTTACCTCAATAATCAGCACACTCATGTACATAATGACCATAATTAAAAATGTCTAGGACCTGATGGAATCCAGAAGTTCACAAGAATCAGTACACGCATGTCACTCATAAACAATGTCAAAATCAGTTGAGATGCGTCCAGTAGCCATTTTTCAATGGAAGGACTAACATAAAATCAAAAACTAAAGATATAATTAACCCAATCAACTACTAACCTATCAACACTACAGAATAATGTTAAAATTTTCTAAAAAATAATACTAGCATGTACGATAAAGTCTTAACAATGTAGTAAAAAAGGGTGTAGAAAATAGAATAAGGGTTGTAAAATGAAATAATAGTATAAATAATAACAGAATTATAATAGAGACTGTGATAATGAAAGAAGTTAAAAATTATATTTATGGAAACATGCACATATACTGCATCGATTAAAGAAAGATATTTCAATAGTTTCATATTCAACTTTTATATCCACAGATAACATCTAAGATCTATCCAAAAATAAGAGCATTTTTAATTTGAACACTGAAATCAAAAACAATATCGGAACCATGTTTAAAGCGACTGTTTTTGTATTTTAAAACTGGGTTATGAACTTAATTTGAACCGACACCTCCTGTTTATTTTTTAAGATTATTTCAATCAAATCCTGTACTAAAAATGAAGCCTTGTTAAAATATCGAACCATGAAAACGTTCTCAGATACAGGAGGAGCTCATACAACTCAGATATTACTACGGGCGACTATTCCTCCTCCCCCACTGTGGGTAAGGTAATTATTAAATAAAATATTTTTGCATTTTAAAAGTGCTACGAGTATAAACCAATTTTAAAGGAAACCTACTGCTTTTTAGTGTTAATTAAACCTATAATTAAATATAATCATGAACTATATCACTAGTCTATCAAATTTTAAACCCAGAGTGAAAGAGTGAAGAGGAAAATGAAAACAGAAACTTATTTACATCTGTTTTAAAGAATTATTTTTTTTCGTTTATAATCTTTAGCTTTTCTTAAAGAAATAGTTAACAATGTCTAATCCACAATACCCGAAAGATTGATCCGATCAAAAAATACATAAAAAGTAGAGCCCTGAAATTATTTGCGAAAACTGACAGACTTACTAACACCGCGTTATCGACTCTCAGAACGGTTACAGGCTCCTCGGCGAGGTATGCAGATCTAAGGTCATTTATTGCTTAGTCTGATAAAGTGATAAACATTAATCCAGTCAAGACGTAAAGAGGGGTTTTGAAGATACATCGAGTAATAAAGAGTAAAAGTGCACTAGTGCACTGGCTTAAATAGCTTCACAATGAAAAAAAAAATTCATGAAAGATTAATGCAATAAACTTTACTGATTATAAAATAAACTAAAAATACGAACATTTTTTTGTGTAAAATTGTTGTTGACTATAATTGATAAGATTTCAAAGTACCAAAAAAAAAAAGATTTTAAACTTTTTTCTTATTTGAGTTTCTTATCACCGGTCTACTCCACAGGTTTTATTATTATAAGTTTTGTTAATTTTTTTGTCTTGTTTTCTTAAGATAATAAAATCTAACCGATAATTTATTAAATTTTTTATTTTTACTTTTTAATTTGAACCACATTATATATTTAAATATATTTAAAATCTCCTCAAGCCAAGACTTCAAAATAAGACAAATAGTAGTTAAAATTTTAATGAACCCCAATTTATCAGATGATAAGGAAGAAAGAGACACATACTGTGTAATTAAAAAGTTAAAAAGAAAAATAAATTATATATTAGAACAGTTAGCTATAAGCCTATAAATATTTTTTTCATAGAATATTTAAAACTCATAAAGCAATTAATAGATCTTATATTTAATATGGTTCTGTCTATAAAAAATGGTTATATGGTTCTATATACAACTCTCCACTGCTAATGTAACAAAAATTTTATGGTCATTTACAAACAAAGTCTCTTACACAACAAATACTATTTTCAATCTATTTTTACTCCTTAACAATTTTTCCCTCCCCTCTCAAACTACCATAACCTATCTACATTCTAACTCATATATACGTCTTTGTAATTTCTTTCATGTTACCTGCCTTATAGATCACTGTAGGCTACAACAACAACAAATAAAATTATATATACATATATAAATCTTACCGTGTAGCAATAGTCGCGGCTTGAAGAAGTCCGAACATAACATCCCGTACAATCATCACACGAGTAAAAACCATTGTGCCATAAAGTAATAGAGGTTCTGGACCTTTCACAAAGGTGCCATCTGGCAACACTTGTGCATTTTTCATCAACATTTGCGTACGCGATATACGCACGTTTGTGAAGCCTAAGTATCCATTATTTACACCATTTATACCGATTTTTGTACCAATTTCACCAACATCTACTCCCGGAACCGGTTCATGGGTATCCTCACTTCGTATGCGTACCAAAAACGGATGCAAGCCACAATGTTTGCCTTTAATGTAAAGTTGCGCCATAATAACAACAACATTTGCCGTATGCCCCAAACCACCAGGCCACCATTTATAGGCTGTTAGCGTAGGTGTATTCAAAATGAATTCCTCTCGTTCAATATCATAATCAGCGCGCGTTTCCAAACCTCTCAGAAATGTGCCATGACCCAATTCTGTTTGCGCATATGTACCAATCATGCCGTCCAGATTCCATGCTTTATTCAGCCATGTTCGTTGTTGTTCTTCGGTGCCTTGTCCTAACAATGTTGGCAAAAACATTGAGAAATGTAAACGCAACGGGAAACTTTGTTGAAAAAGTGAAGTTCCCAATGAACCACTTAGAATCATACGAAAATCGTACATTGATTGTATGGCACCTTTTGCTGGTTTACCAGCCGCTCTTTCGACACGTTCCTGCTCTTTGTGCCATGCACGAAGTTTGGTTAGGAATTTCGTTGCTTTCGCCACTGAGTGTTCATACAATTCCTTATGCGACATATAAGAGATATGCTTCTCGTCATTGAATGCTGGATCATCAAAAAACAATTTTTCTAAATCTCTACGTTTTTGTAAGGCGTCCCGCCCACCAGCCCACCATTCCGCAAATAAACCGCTGTCAACAGCTGTATTTTGACGCGCTCGCTGTAGGTCAACGTTCTCTTTCACTTTCATCGTGTCCATTTTTTTTGCGTAAAATTAAAATTATAAAACAGCAAATTAAATGTAATCACTTTGTGTTCAATATTTGAAAGCTTTATCTTATTTAACCAGCAACTATAATTAACAGTTTCTTTTATAAGATTGCGAACCAACCCATCAAACGAAACTTCGCAACAATACTAGCGAATGCGATAAGTAAACAAACTAATAAAAATAGATTTACAAAGCAAATAGCTTATCAAGTAGAACAAGTTTTTACGTCGCCCCCTAGCTGTGACTGAAAATAATCAACGCCATCTATACGTCAAACCAACTTAATTGATCGTAAAAGAAAGTTGCCAAAACATTGAAAAAACTGAAAACATCGCCATAGCAAAATTAAGAAAAATATTTATATGTAAAAAAAATATTTTTTAGTTGCATATGACAAGTTAAAACGAAAACATAAGAAATTATTTTGAATTGTTTATTAACATGACAGTTATACTTTATATGATTATTAAAAATTATTAATCACAATTATTCACAATTTTAAAAAATAAAACATATTATTCTGTAAAAAACTAAAAACATAGAAATATGAATGTTTCTATGCAGGTTTTGAAAAACTGATGTTAATGCTTAATTGATCTTAATAAATTAATATTGATACAAATACATATCTTTTTCCCGAAAAATTTACTAAGTTTTTAAAGAAATAATATTAATAATTTAATTTAATACTAAATGAAATTTGTATTATTTTATTTTCTCAAAAAAACTTTTTCGTTTTTGTAGAATTAATTTCATAACTTAGTTAATTTATAATAAATTATTATTATGACCAATATTCAATTAGTTTTTCTATTGTTACTGGGCTTAGGTCATTTATTTAACACATTTAGTTATAAATGTTTTTTTTTAATTAAAAAATTGCACTCATTAAATTATGTTAAGTATTTAATTATATTGCAACTTGTACACAAAATTATTTATATTACATATATTATATTATGTTACGGGTTGGGAACTTATCACCACATCACTGGATCCTCTGAGGATTATTATGACACACGCATTTTAGCAAATCTTAAAGCATAATACGTATGAATACATGCAAAAAACTATTGTAAATTTCACATCTTTTTATAAGAAAAATATTATTTTAATTAAAACCTTTGAAGTTCGTGCTTTACAAGCGAAAATGCTTTACATAAAATCTTATAAAAATATATGAAAATGAATATTGCGGCGTTGCCAATTACTGACATTTTTACTACTACGTTTATATTCTACAAAAACAGAAAAAAATATTTATCTACGGAAATATACGCTCAGTTGGACAAACTCAATTAAAATTTGCCAATTGAACAATTTAAGCTCACTTTAACAACAAACAAAAGGAGAAAGTGTACGTGAAAAGGCGAAAAAGGAACGAAAATAAATTTCTAAAATTGCGCTCTTCGATTTTTAAATAACGACCGAAATGAAATTGTATATTTTTATGTTTTTATATGAAAATAAACAAAAATATGAAAAAATGGTAAAATGGTAAAATATAAAATGAAAATAGAAATTTCAAAAATTAGAAAAAAAAAGAAAAAGAACCGGAAGACAAATATTTTGTAAAAGTTGTTAAAATTAGAAGCAAACTTCAAACAAAAAATGGAGTACGAAATGGCAACAAAGCAAAAAATAAAAAAAAATGGACCACCATTACTGCTTATGCCCCAACACATACACAGACATATATGCACACACCTACATGTTAACGAATAATTAACAAGTGGAAGAACTTTAAACGTTTCTATACTAAACATTTCGGCACCAGATTAAAATAGGGTTCCGTAATCGTATTAAAAGTAATTATTAGTTCGGAGGTACTTTGTACTTTGTTTTGTCCTCATTCACAAAACAAAGTACTCTATGTCAACAAACAAATCTCCTGAGCGTCTTGGGACCCACGTCACTGTTGACAATTATAAGTTTAAAGTTGTAAAAGACTTTGTTTATTTAGGTACCAGCTTGAACACCAGAAATGACGTCCGCCGAAAGATTCAACGAAGAATCACTCACTTCGGGATAAGTATGCAATTGAGAAATAAAGCTCTCTCTCTCTCGACAAACAAAAATCACGCTCTACAAATCTCTTATGATACAGCAGCACACTATGTGCTGCAGAAGCTTGGACAATTACCAACAGTGATGAGAAGGCATTATGAGTATTCGAGAGAAAAATTCTTCGGAAGATCTAAGGTCTCTTACGCGCTGGCGACGAGTATCGAATTAGATGAAAAAATGTGCTGCATTAGCTATACCGCCACATTGACATAGTAAAGCGCATTAAAATTCAGCGGATTCGCTGGCTTGGTCATGTCGTGTGAATGAAAGAAAATACTCCGACTAGAAAAGTGTTTGGATCGGTACTCGTAGGTGGAAAACGCGGTAGAGAACGTCCGCATCTTTGGTGAAAAGACCAGGTATCCAACGATTTGGAGGCGAAAGGTACTACCAACTGGCTACAGCAAGCTGACAGAGGCTGCTCGACGCGACCAAGGACGTCTCACGTCTGTAATGGTCAACTAAGTAAGTAAGTCAGTAAGTATTAGTTAGAAAGAACTATCATATGCGCTTTTTTGCATAAAATTAAAAAACATTGGAGGTGTTCAAACGTGCTCATTAAATAGGTAAAGTGAACGTTATAAGGTTAACGCATTACTGAGGTATCAGGTCTTATAATTTTTTGATTTTCGATAAAAAGTTCACCAAAGTGTTTCAAATTGTCGATAGTTTGAAGATTCACCATAAACATGAATTTTTTGGTTAAACTCCCAAAAAAGTTTAAAATTACGATAAATCACATGATTTTGATAGCTAATTGACAATACCACTATATTATTATTATATGGTCCGAAAAATTGTTGCGAAAGAACACCAAAACAAGATGTGTGTTATGGCACTGTGCTGTTGATACCACATTTGGTCCACATGCTTTTAATTTCATGCCAAAATAAATTCATGATTGTTTTTTTGAAAAAAATACGCGCCTAGTCTACACCACATAATGACTTTTAGTGGATGCAAAACTCTTCGATAGCTGCATATAGATTTTCATTGAAACAAATTCGACTATTTTATTTGTTGTTATTTACTATTTTCTTCACCAAGCAAATACTGAGTCTCAACACGAAAGAAATTTTGTTGTGAATATTTTTTCTATATTAAATTTATACTTGCACTTATCATGCTCAGTGGTTGCTAAACGATTCACATCACAAAATGGCAAAAAAAAAAATAAAATATATGTCACTAAAATAGTGCCACCAAATTAAAATCATAAAATTCATAACGCATTATATTACATACTATCTTTATATGACGGAAACTGACAGGAGCTTCAACTAGTTTATCCAAAAACTATAAACCATCATTTAGCTTTAACTTGAACTTGACAATTTTATTATTTTATATTAAACTAAGTTACACACTTTCTTTACTGTAAAAATGTAAATTTATAGTAATATCCATTACTTTTTAAAAAAAAAAATGCTTTTTAATAGCAATTGTATGATTTATAATTTTACACGTAAGATACATGAAAAATACATGAATTTTCTTTTAATAATTTTTAATTACATTGGATAAGTAGACAAATATCACTAAAACAAATACTTTGTTTTATTTTTATTTATTTATTTTTTTTATTTTGTTTTTTTTATTTATGTATTTTTTTTGTGTATTTTGTTATATTCAATTATTTATTTCAAATTATTGTTTTTTGTATTTTTTTTATATTCAATTATTTATTTTTAATTATTTATTTTTATTTATTTATTTTTTTTTTGTATTTATTTATTTTCAATTATTTATTTTTAATTATTTATTATAAGTTATCTTTTCTTGTCTTAACTTTTTTTTATTTATTTATATACATTTATACATTTATTTATTTTATTAAAATGTCGCATTGTTGTATAAAAAACAATTAATATATTCAATTTAATAAATCTTTTAGATATATAAAAATTTAATTAATTTTATTATGATAAAAATCTAATTTTGACACTTTTTGTGGTATAGTAAATTGGAAGAACTGATATAGTCGTAACTTATAAAATAAATTATAGATAGTTCTATAAACTTGAACATCACTACAAACTAAATAATATATCTATTTATAGTTTGCAGGCTTTTAGTAAACTAAGATAGGCAATCTACGCCAAATGAGACATTATCCTTCCTAAGTACTTTAGGTGGTTTTAGTAGGTTCCAGTCTTACACTGAGGCGTTCGATGCTTTCTATCTATCGTAGAGCGAATTTCATTAACAATTTATAAGATAAACTTAATTTTGACTAAAAACAAACAAATACAATAAGATATTTAAACTAATATATTTTTAATCAATTACAATTAAATAGATATTTTGTTTAACATATAAATATTTTTCTTAAATATAAATCCCAGTACATAATCTTTCTATCACAGCAAAAAATTATTTTTAATATTAATTTCGGAAAGATATGTTAAGTTTTCATGCAAGAGTAAAACGAAGATTCCAAAAATGATGAAATAATGTGATTGAAAATGACCCTAAAAATATTAATGTTGCAGATCACAGACGAATTCGATAATATATATGTCTGGAAATAAATGCTAAAGTAAGTTTTAACTTACCCAAGGCTGTCATGTTAAGAATATAATTGCTTTGAATAGATAAAACTATCGGCCAGATTCCCTATAGTGATGAAATGAAGTATTGTATATTAGAGACCGCAGTAGCTTATCATCTTAAAAATAAATCAATTTTCACAGACAAGTAAGAAGATTTCTCAGTTTTAATATATTTTGTAAAATTGTGAAACTGTGTTTAATTTTACTTTTGAAATGCTTCAATGATAACAATTTAAAACTTGGGGGTGTATCAAGACTTTCTTGGTCATATATAATAGATGGATGCAGAATAACTATAATATTTTTTATATTAAGGAAAAGCATGTTACATATTAACGTTTGGAGCCACTAAATGAAAAGCATTACATATGACATTTGTACCCTTGATAAGCTTTGCGCAGAGCAATAGGGTTCTACCAAGCTGGGATTTTTGCCGGTAGAAGAACTTAGAATAATATTCTTTATTAATAAAACAAAATATTTGTATTAGTGATATCTGTCTACTTATTGAATGTAATTAAAAAATATTAAAATAAAATTCATGTAATACTTATGTATCTCACATGTACAATTATAAATCATACAATTGCTATTAAAAAGCACTTTATGAAAAATAGTAATGGATATTACTATAAATCAACATTTTTACAGTAAAGACAATGTACAACTTAGTTTAATATAAATTCATTGATCTAGCTTCCATTTAGAAGTTGAAAATTCACGTTAAGACTTAATGACCGTAATTAGTCCTTAATTCGTTGAAACTACAGTCATTTTCCATCATAGAACAATAATATATAATATAATATAATGTGTTGTTAATTTCATGATTTCGATATGGTGGCACTGATGAAGTGACATATATTATACATATTTATAGATTTTGCCATTTAATATAGATCGTTTAGCAACCACTGAGCAGAAAAATACGTTTCATATCAAATATGCAGCTATCAAAGACCTTTGCATCCACTAAAAGACAGTATATGGTATAGCACAGGCGCGTAATTGTCTTTACAAAAAGACAGTTTCCAATTTTTTTTGGCATGAAATTGATAAACAAAAAAATGGATTATAAAATACTTGTACTATATTACTAAGGTTCAGAAAATTTCATGATATTTCACTTACTACACACCTACATCTCGTACTAAATTTTCTTAAAAATATTTTTATTACTTAAAAAAAAAGTTTTTCATACATCTGTTGGACTATATACATTTATTACATATATGTATAAAAGTACAACTGCAGAACAAAAATGTGTGTGAACTCCCATCAGTTTTTAAGTTATTTGCAATTTTGTTAAGTTTTATTAGCAAATTTGAGTTTTCGTAAAAATTGGTTCAACTTTGTTTTTTTTTCTTATTGAAAAATTATGAGTTTTTCGTTTTTTAAACCTTAAAATATTGATTCAAATTTAAAAATTATAATACATAAACAGTAAAATTTTTTAAGTGGAAAATGCAAAGAAAATCATTAGTTCTTTATAAAATTTTCCACTTATAAAAGAGCAATGGAAACATACCATTATTATAAATCAGAGTAATAGTCTGTTCCCATTGTCTTGATTAAATCAGTTTATTTGATTTAGATCGCTAATAAAGTTAATTTACAGTTAAAAGAGCTTTCGTGCCAAACATCTTAGTTAAGAATAAATTAAATTAAATTTTTATTTGTTTTTTATTTGATGTCATTGACTGTTTTATACTTGTCACCAAAGCAATGCCACGAAATCAAAAGCACGAAATTTATAAATCTTTGTTATAGGTATAATATATTATTTTTATATGATGGAAACTGAAAAGAGTTTTCATAGATTTGGCTGCAGTGCAAACATCGTATAACTCTATTTAGGAATTATTTACTAAAACTCCAAATATTAGTAAAAAATAGTAAAAAACAGCAAAAATGATTGTATGTATGCAGCTCTCTAGTATGTAAGAGACTCTCTAGTACGTTACTTAAGTAACTTTAAGATTTTATCCTTTTCATTGACATAAGTAACTTATTAAATGTGAAAGAGCTTATATGTGTCATAAAGTTCTTTAAGAGTTTTAAGAGAACTTCGGTTTGTTTAAAAAAATTTCACTTAATAACTATTCACACAAAAAATTATATAATAATTGATATATTAAATCACTTATATATATATATATATATTATACAAATTTATTATATATGACAGGGCTGTCCAGACCAGATGCGTTCGCGGGCCAATACAAATCACTGAGCAAATTGGAGGACCGCAGAAACATATACATACGTTCATAGTTGTTATCAACATAAATAATAATATATTTATAATTTTAAATTTAGTTTTATTGATTTATCAATTTAAATTCATATATTTGGTATTAGTTATATATATCATAAAAATAAAATAATGTAGTTTTACCAGTAAACCAATAAAAAATTTCATAATTTTATTGATTTATTTTTTAAGGGTTGCATTCGACATTTTGTTCTAATTTTCCTTGCTTTATTATTAAGTAAGTTAAAAAGCATGGTTGCTCTTCATTTATTTGGTATACCATAAAAATAAAATAGTGCAGTTTTACCAGTAATCCAAAAGAAAATATACGTAATTGTGGTTGATTAAAAATATGTCTCGGACCGCGAAAACATTAGTCACAGACCGTCCTGACATACACAATTAATAAAATCAAAGATGTTATTAAATATTTATTTTCTCAGTATGTTTGTTTACAGGTCAGCTGTTATTTATTTACATTTTACATATAAAACAAATGACAAATATTTAAAATTTTGGTCATTACCCTTATGGGAAATTTATTTTTAAGGTTTGCATGAAAGCTCTTTGTATGGTTAATGAAATTTACTTAGTAAGTTACACTTACACTTGCTGAAAACATACCGTAACTTATTTGTCGATCGACTAAGTTATAAGTATACTTCGCGATAAAGTTGATTATATATAAAATTTAAAATTAATTTAATTTTTCCTATTGATTTAATACAATTCAATTATAAATAAAAGAAATATCGTCATTTAATTGGGCTACCCTGCAGTAACTTGTTACGTTCTTTTACAGCTACAAGAGAGTCGAGTATCAACATCGCCGAGTAGAGATCATCAATTCCACTTGTAATATAAATAAAGGGTTCCAAAATATCGAGTTACCCCTGTACGTACGAGTATAAACAGAAACCAAAATAATGAAATCAGAAATGAAAATGAACATTTTGAATGTACGATTGTACCTGAAACGTAAGTAACAATGCGGGTATGAACGTGTATCGGAAACGGAATTTACGCGCCACACAGTGTTGAACAATGATAATTTTGCAATGCAAAACTACAAGAAAAAATTGTGGCGAAAAAATATGGGAAAAATATGGTTGGACTGTACAGAATATGCCAAAAATAAATTTACTCACTTGCCAACCAGTAAACATTATTTTTTACAGCTTCTTTTTATGCTTTAAATCTTTCTCTTAAAAATTTAATATTCTTTCTTTGTTACAATTTTTTTTTGTTTTACAATTTTGCAATTAATTTCTCTATTGTTTATGTTTACATAAAACTTTTATGAATTTTTTCTTTATCCTGTGTTTTAATAATAATAACACAAACCGAAATGCAAAAACAAAAAAAATGAAGAGCACATATAACTCGTATTTTGCATATATCGACATTTTTATTATTTTTATTATTTTTATTATGTTTTTAATATTGTTTTTGCGTAAACTATTGTTATTTTCATTTGTTTCATTGTTTCCATTTTAATACAGCGTATTTTTTATGTGTTGTTATTTTTGTATCTTTACACTTTGCCGCCATTTCAATTTAAATTGGTGTTGATATTTCGTTTTCATTTTCTGCTTTCTCTTCCTTATTTTGTGTAAATTTTTACATTTATTCTCAAAAAATTGTAATCAATGCAAAAACTCCATACAGCAGTGCACAAGGATATGCAATCAACACTTGTTGATGGTCCATCGAATATGCAGTTACAAATAGTTTTGAAGCCGATATAGCACACCAGAGAATTACGATTCCAGCAACAATTAAGCCGATAGTACCCCTGTTAATGGAAAAGAGCAGAGCATCGAAAAAATTATTAAGAATTTTTAACATTGAAACATTGAAACATTGAAGCACGGAAACACGGACACACTGAAGGATAAATATTTTTTCATATAAATTTAAGCTCAAAGCTAAAGGTTAAACATAAATTCACATACATACTCACACACACACACACACACACACACACACACACTACACGACTTAAGTTTAAATAAAATATCCTATTGAAATGCAGATATAAAAATAAGTGGAATTAAGAACTGCGTATTTCTGAATCTGAAAGAAATAACAATTTTTAAATCATGAATTCCATACTTCACCAAATAGCCTTCCTTGTACTTAAAAGAAGTGAATGGTAGTATCCAGTAAGTAGTAGTCAATTAAAAGTAAAGAATTATATGAAGTTATTGGTTTACATATAAATTGAATTTGAGACACAAAATTTTCATATATCAACATTTGAGAGAACTTTTATCAAGTTGAGAAATAAAATCTATTGTTAATATTATTTATTAAGTTTAATTGTTTGTACTAAAATGATTTATATTCATAAAAGTGACTCTCTGAACGGTTTTTCTGATCAGACTGGTTATATCGTTTCCTAGAACCTTAGTGAAAAGGAAGATAATGTAAAAAAAGGCACTAAGGTACTAAGATCAATAAGGTACTAAAAAGTGATATAATCAAACTGATCAGAAAAAATGTTTTTCAGAACCACCCTAAAGAATACATACTATTTTATTATTATTTTAGCGTTATTGTTTTCTGAGAAGACTTTTCAAGATGCCATGGTGCATTAAGAAAAATGACATCCTCAGGGACCTCAAGCTGGATTCGATCAAAAAAAAAAACATAAAGGATAGAGCCCTGAAATTATTTACGAAAACTGACAGACTTACTAAGACCGCGTTATTGAATACAGGTTACAGGCTCCTCGGGGAGGTGTACAGATCTGAGGTCAATTATTGCTTAGTCTGATGAAGTGGTAAACAATAACCCAGTCAAGGCGTAGAGTGGGGTTGTGAAAAAACCTCACTGTTAATAGAGAGTAAAACTGCTCTCAAGTGCAATGACTCAACTAGCCTCAACATAATAATTTATATATTTATAATAATATTAAAATAAAATTATAATTGATATTTTATGATAATAAAAATGTATGATAAGTTTATAGATTTAAAATAAACGTTCACTTCTTCGTAAATTACTTTTCTATTGTCAAGAGCGTCCTGGCATGCCTCCAAATCAAGTTTTTTTTAACATTTTTAACTTTTTCCACATCACATACCTTTTCATTAAGGAACTAGAAAATGATATACCTAATCAAAACAGAAAAAAAATATTTTCCTATACAATTGAGGGCCAAACTAATATTTATGTACATATGATGATTTTAAATTATTTTTAATTATGACGAAAGAAACTATGTATTTTCTTAATACTAGTAGAAACTATTTTTTTTTTAATAGAGAGATTCTTAAATATAGTGAATTACAAATTTGACGGAGTACAAGCTCAAATCTTGGTACTTATAGACTCTTAAAATTATTTACGAATAATTAGATATAAGAAATATAAATTTAATATAAGAAAAGCCATTAATGATAGGTATTTGGTAATATTCGAAAAAGCTGTATGGTCAGCTAAAAATTAAATTAATCAAAAACAATTAAATTTTGTTGTTGTAATTCACTACTGCTCGCAAACGTCAAAATTCTTGGCTTAGATAAGCTTTGAATTCTAGGTACTAAACCTACTTTTCTTTGAAAAGTGAAGGAAATTAATAATATAAAATTAAATATAACATAAGAATTGTATGGTCAGCTAAAAATTAAATTAATCAAAAACAATTAAATTTTGTTGTTGTAATTCACTACTGTTCGCAAACGTCAAAATTCTTGGCTTAGATAAGCTTTGAATTCTAGGTACTAAACCTACTTTTCTTTGAAAAGTGAAGGAAATTAATAATATAAAATTAAATATAATAATATAAGAAAATAAATGTGTTTGTAGTTATCCATTTCATTTTTATTTACCCATTTTCATTCCTTTTATGACATTTATTAAAGCATTTAAAATGTACAAAATGTACATTTAAGACTCATTATTTATTCAACAAAATAAAATAAATAAAAAAATAAACACTCGCGATGCAATATAACAAAACTGCGAACACGAATTGTCAAAGCTTTCTGATGTGCTTTTAATATTTTTTCAAAAAGTTCTTGATTAAATAATAAAAATTTAATTAGTTGTAGAAGTTCTTGATTGTACCCTTTTTATTTACACTTAAACTTTAAGTAAAACTGTTTTAATTGTAAACTTTAGCTGGGTAAACAAGTAGGAAAAATATAAAAATGAAACTACTGTCGTAAACAAAAAATCCAAATAAAATAACAAATAACAAAATCAAAAACAAAAACAAAAAAGAAAAAGAAAAACAAAAAGAAAAAACAAAATTAAAAACAATAAAAAGCAACAAAAAGTAAACAATAAACAAAAACACAAAAGTGTTGCAGTGAGAAAAAAAAGCGCAAAATTATGACTTTAGAGTGAAATGAAAACGTGTGTGTTGTAGCCACACACTAAACAAGTGGCAACACTCCACTTTACTCCACTTTAGCAAGAAGAGATTCGTGATAATAAAAAACATATAAAATATAAAAAAGAAAACTGAACACTGAACACTAAAAACTAAAACTACCGTTCGCGTAGTATAAAACACTATGTATATCAGACAGCAGAGATTTGCACTACAGCATAAATTAAAACGTAAAAACTTAGAGAAAATGCACCACCAGGACATTCGATTGGACGGACTATACACCGGGGAACCATTGCAACATTGGAGCAAATAAGTTCACCTCGTATTGAGGTTTACATCAAACATGTGTTCAAAATTTACTAACGACCAGACAGTGCTAAATATTGCACTAGCAAAGCAAACTAAATAGAATTTGAAATACGGATATGAATTAAAAAAAAAATTAACAAAAAATAAACTTAAAACTAATAAAAATGGAGAAAGATAAGCTTTAACAAAAAAATCCAAATAATTAAAATATAAATGTAAGACAAACAAAAATTTTAGTGAAAAGCTTACACTGCTCAATTTAAATATACGTACAACGTAGCGTATGATTGCTCTTAATATTAAAGCAAACACTACAAGCTTTGCAACAAATAGAAAATTGAAAAAAATTTATTAAATTTTTTATTATTAATAATATTCTAATATAAATGGAATGTGAAATATTTAAATTGGTTGAAATTCATAACTAAGTTCTAACTAAAATGAATACAGCAATGCATATGGGTCATTATTTTACAGGCAAAAAGGCCGATTTAAATGAAAATTTTTTATAATCTTCTTTTTTAAAATAAAATCAAGATTAATTATTTTAAAATAATAATAAAAACACTCGTATCCCGGGAAAAAATTTTTAAAATTTTTTTCTAAAAGATGCAGAAAGTTTTTTTTATAAGCCCCGTTTTTAAAATAAATTCACCCCTATTCTGAATACTTCCAGAGAATAAGTCTCCCTTTTCGCTCGTTTATTCCCTCGAATGGAATTCCCTTATTCTGAATTGCTGGGGAGACAGCTGTTTTTGGGAACAACAAAAATTTCAAATTTGTTTTGTTGAACTTTGGCAACTATGGCACTTTTTAATGGCGAAAGATACGAAAATGAGCAAAACAAACGAATAGAATAGCGTATCATATGTTGATTTAAATTAAAAAATCGCATTATTTGTCAGTAAAATAAAATATCAGAATTGATATAATGAATACTTTATAAGTAAATAATAAAAAAACCTTTAGTTTATTTATTTTAATTATTTATTTCCAAAGTCACTGATGATGGGTATTTGGTAATACTCGAAGCAGCTGTATGGTCAGCCAAAAATTCAATTAATTAAAATAATATAAAAAGAATTTTTGTTGTTGTAGTTTACTACTGTTCGAAAAGACCTCTTAATTATTTATTTTATTTTTCAAATTTCTACATAATTTGTTTTTTTTCTTATATACAATAAAATTAAGTAAAATATCTTATTTAATAATTGGAATTATTAATGTTTTAACTAAAATTTCAGTTCCTCTCCAAAAGTCGTATTTATTTTTATAATTAGGATAAAAATGTACTTCATTTAATAAACTGTAATAATAATTTATAATTGCCCAGATGTCACAATTAAAAAGAAGTAATGTTTTACCTGTGTATTATTTAAAAGAAATTATGTTAAACTTATTCAAGGAAGCTCATTCTAGAATTTGGGTTCCTTTCATAATTCTATTATTTTAAATAATAATAGTTAAAGCTTTAGTTTGTGAAAAAAACCCGTGTGGATAATATAAATAAATAAAAATTTAAATATATTGAATTTGTTATTCTACTAAAAATAATTTTATTATAATAATAATTTTATTATAATAATCATTTTATTTTAATAATATTTTTATCCCATTCCCATATGATTCAGAATAAGGATATCGGGAATAGGGAACGAAATTCCTATTCTCATTTAATTCAAAATAAGGGAATTGGAAAAAAACTGCCATTCCCATGTGATTTAGAATGGGAGTAATTATTTTAAAATAAAACTAAAAATACTCATATCTCGGAAGAAAAGTATAAAATTTTGACTAGAAGATGTCGACTTAAAAACAGGGTTTTGAGTATTTACCAATTTTCAAATATTATATTCAAATTAAAATAAAAGACCATAAATGATAGAAATTAAATTTTTTGCATTATTAAGTTAACTGATTGAGTATTAGTTTAAGATTAATTGAGAAATAGTTTAAGTAATTGTTATATTTATAATCAATTATTAAACAATTAATACATTATGAATTTGTAAAGAGTAAGATCTTTACTCGACTTATAAGTAAGTGATAATTTTTTTTCGTTTAAAATCGAAATCTAATACTGGTAAATAAGATTGGTTTTAAATCATGGCCTTGTGTCGAGAGCTCACTTGAGCTCAAAT